ATCTCCATGAGTCCTAAAATCGATAATTTGAGAGGAGAAAATGAAGGGAGTCAGAGACAGAGAAAATGAAGGGAGTCGGAGAAAATGAAGAGTGGAGTGAAAAGTTGGGTTTTGTTTGGTTTTAAGTTTTTTTTTAAGGGCGGGTTGGGTTGGGTCGGGTCAGATTTTTTGGTTTAACCCGACCCAACCCGACCCGCCTTCAACTCCCCAAACCCGAACCCAACCAAAAAAATGAAAAAAACCGACCAAACCCAGTCGGTTTGGGTTGGGTCGGGCGGGTTGAGCGGGTTGGGCGGTTTTTTGCCCACCCCTACTTCCTACCATCTACCTAGCTACTATAATCGAAATTCTCCTAATATAAAATATCAAATAGTATTTTACATCATTTGGGTGTTGGTAACTTGGTATCTTCGTTGCTGTGTTCATTTCTTCTGCAGGAATCATTCATAAGTGCAGGAGTCTAAATTGGTATCTAAGCACTCGATCCTCGGGCAAATGGAAACTAATTTCAGCAAAGAATTGGAGAGGAGAAGGGGCTAGATATTGAATCGGGTTGAGAAGATGATAATGCAACGGGAAGAAGGCCGAGTACGCTAATTCAAGGCTGGATGCACGAGGTTGACTCATAATATCCATATTCTAAGAGTGACAAGACAGAGTGGTGGTTGTCTAGAACTGAGATTTTTTCTACAGTTAGCAGAAGCAGAGAAGATAGAGGCTCTACATCGTGTTTTGATGGCAAAGCATGGGATTGGTTTCAGTGGATAGATCAACGTTGGCCTGTGCAAACTTAGGATGAATTGAAGTGATTGATGCGGGATCAATTTCACAAGGAGGTCTCCATGGTTGAGGAAATTCCAACACGTAAACACTCGGGTGTGAGGAAAGGAGAGATGTTGGAAGCCCCAACTTCTTCTTCGACAGAAGTGTGTGAACCAAGGACTATGGATGGAGGAGAAGACAACGGTGAAGAAAGGGGAAGAGAATGGGCTGGAATTGATAGCTGAATTTCAGATAAAAGAATCCACGGACTTGGTTTTGGAATTGGCCCAACAAGTAAATTACAAGGTTTCATTTACGCATGCCCAATACGAAATGGGCCTAAATACAGGGAAGGAGCCGATCGTTAATGATACCTAATATGAATAGCCCTCTACCTTGTCTCAAGCAAGCTCTGGTCCACCCTACAGATCTCTGTGTTCATCGGTACAGAAATCCTCACCTAGACATCGCAGTGATTGATGATGATGAGTATTATAGTGACGGTAAGAATGGTGGATCAATCAAGGTATCTTCTGGAGTAGAAAGTATCAAAGAACGAGTAACATATAGGGTGATTCACGTGATGATCAAAATGTCAAAATGGGTACTGAACAGGGATCGACGGATTCCAAAGGTGCACCAACTTTTCTCAATTGTCATCGACAAGAAATATACAAAATTGGAGATGATGTTCCCCTAACCCTCATTGACGCCACTGGTTTGCTCTGGGAGGATCTAACGATGGTCAACCAAGATGGATTTTCTGCTCCTACTCCAATACATGCAAATCTTGGGCAATTGGTATGCACGGTCACAGTATATTAGCCATAGCCAAGATAGGTTATGGGGAAATTTTGGGTTATTTAATTCCAAGCTTTATTCATCCAAAGCAACAATGTAATGATCCCAATTTAGGTCCAACTGGGTATGGAATTTTTACGGACAACATCTTAATTGTAGGTGGTCAATTGACTAGACAGGTTAAAGGCAGTTGTTCACCCTGATACTTCTCATGGTAACCAATTTTCGAAAGTGAATATTTTCAGTTGCTTGGACGTGTTATGATCAAAGCTTTCCAAGATGGGAGACTTTTGGATTTGACGCTATCAGTTGCTTTTTATAAATTTTACCTGGTCGAGATCTGGATATGAGTGATATCATTTCTTTCAATGCGGTACTTGGGACTACTTTCCAAGAATTATAAGCCTTGTGGGCTGGACACAGAATTTGGAAGCAAGGGGAATTCATAATTTAGATGAGTTAGATTCTTGTGGAACTTTAGTTGAAGATCAATGTTTAGATTTCACCCTTTCCGCTTATTTCAAATATGTTCTGAAATTAGGCTATGAGAATGTTATTATTGATAGTTTGGGGGATTATATTAGCCTTGTAGTTGTTGCTACCGTAATGACTAGCATTTAGTGGCAAATGGAAGCATGTGGATATGGCTTTATTCGGAATTTTGACACCTCAACTCCGCAAATATTTCCACCACAAGAGTTGGACTACCTGCTCTTTGGCCGCCGAGAGCTATGGAAGGCCAATACTCTTACTGATCACATGAAATTGGATCATGGATACACAACCAAAAGTCCTGGTATCATCAATCCATATAAGATTGTGAGTGAGTTCACCCTTGAGCAGCTACAAGCCTTTGTTAATGGTGCTCCATGGCTTCCACCTGGTGGTATGGCATCGCTGAATCCTAAGTTGAACCTCCACCTTGAGGATAAGGTGAACTTCAGGGGAAAAGTAATGATAGAACACCAACTCAATTCAAATTGTGTAAGTGAAGAGCACAGGGTGTAGCAAGGGCAAGAAGGGAAATGAGCTAGATAGTTACAACAAATCACATGGTCTATTGTTACAACAATTCACAGGATGGTTATATATGCAGTTAGAGCACAATATGGGGATCACATAGACTATAAATAAGGGGGAAAGAAGAATGAAGGGGCGAAAAATTGAGCATAGTCTAGGGGAAGAGAATTGGCTCTCTCGAAAAGCCAAATACCATTTATTTCATTTCTTTGTTGGCAAGTACATTTACATAGCAGTAAATCTGTGTAATTCCTGCCATCTACCTAGGGATGGCAACGGGGCGGGGAGGGCGCTAAGAAATTCCCCGCCCCGTTACCCGTTTAGGGCGAGGTGGGGCGGGTTTTTTTTTTTTTAAATATTATAATTTTTTTTTATTGGCCATATTCATTATATTTAGACATATAATTGTTGTTGCTATTTTTAATTTAAACTAATGAAAATTTTCATTAAAAGTATTGAATTCTAAAAAAAATATAAAAAAAAAAAATTTAACGGGGTGGGGCCCCCGTTACCCGTCCCCGCCCCGAACCCGTCCGGGGGCATAATTCCCCGTCCCGTCCCCGTCTCGTTACCCGATTAACCGGGTTATCCCCGTCCCGTTTGGGGGCGGGGCCCCACAAGTATCGAGTTTGTCGGATTTTTTGTCATCCCTACATCTACCTAGCTACTTAGTTACTATAATCGAAGTTCTCCTATTACAAAATATCAAACAATATTTTACATCATTTGGGTGCTGGTATCTTCCTTGCTGTGTTCATTTCTTCTGCACGAATCATTCATAAGCACAGAAGTCTATCAAGAGAACTTTGATAAAAATACTATAGCTCTTTAATATTCATAGAATAATATATTCAAATCATAGGACTAATTGTTCTCAAATATAAATGAGGATTATATTATCTTAGCTAATTAGTTTTTATTGTTGTTGGATGTCTATTATCAATCTAAACGTCCAAATATCTCTTGTTGAGGCATGGTATTCCTAAAGAAAATTTGGTTACCATGAAATCCATGTGCGCAGTAGTTCTATTGTGCGATTTGGTGATCTAGTAGTTTAGACTAGTGACTCATGGAAGGCTAGAAATATCAGCACGTAGTACAATATAGATTGATAGTACTTATTTCTCTATATTTTGGATATGCTAAAGGTCAATGACAATCATAATAGTACTGTTTCAGTATAATTTTCAAAGAATCCTGAAGTGCAGTCATATTTCTATGGTGGATGATTAGATAACTCCCAGGAATTTCAAGAATCAAAAATAGGTATTCATGAAATCCTATTGGAACGAGGATTTTCTCTTTTTGGGTCTTAGGATCCCTAACCAAGCTACAAGCGATTCATATCGTAATGTTGGTGAAGTGTTGGGTCTTGAACAATATAAATTTTGGATAATTGATTTTAGTTTAATAAAAATCATAATGTCTATATAAAATAATTTTACCTGTACCATTCTCCTTGGACAGAATCTCAGAAGTCCCACAGATTCTATTTTATAGCTTGAGACCTATGAAAATTTCAGAATATTGTTGCAATAAAGTAAAACTCGCTGAAGCTAATGTATTGGCAGAATTGGCCGGAATTTGGTTTTTGGAGCACTTTGCGGTTTTAAATTGTCTCCACAATTACTGAGGTTTGATCCTAGCCCTTCCTTCTACAACTAATTAAATTAAATGCATGTTCCTAAATGTTTAAACTGTGAGCTTTTGGTTCCACCAAGTCATTGACAAAAGTTCATTTCTCCAAGTTTCCTCAAACTCATGTCACCAGAAGTGTATTCTAATCATCAAACAAATCACTTTTTACCGAATTGTTCATTTAAGCTACAGATATTGGAACCAATCTCTCTCTGAAACTAACCAAATTCAGAGAGGACAGAATTGAAATATGCACATAGACCACATTGGCATAAAGAGACGGAAACGAACAACAGGAGGGAAGAAACAACAGAATGAGTGATAATGCAGGAGATTCTGCACTGGATTTAAAAGACTTAGCTACTTGTCAGCACTCAGATACAGGATATGAAGGTGACTGACTTTATTTGGTAAACCTATAAATCAACCAAATGAGTCAGAAAATGTATACATCAAAAAACATTATGGAGGCACCGAAATGTAAGGTAGACTAGCAAAACAACCTTGGATAGGCAGAAACAACTCAGTTGAACTTACTGAAGTATCATAATAACCCCTTAAAGGAAGAATTCAATCACAAATAACTATTTTCCAGACTGTATCATTTCTAATATAACCTATTATCCTCTCACGTCATTCTTCTGATATTTGTAAAATTAACATGTAGCTTTCAAAAAGGGTGGTAAAGTAGAAAGAGATAATGCTTTTAAGAAACGTAATTAAGGTTTTATTCAAAAAAAATTCTAGTATTTTATTAGTTGTTTACTTTTAAAATTGGATAATTATGCTAGGACACGTAATTAGAGTTTTATTTAATAAATTTTCTAGTATTGTTCTACTTACTGGTTTCAACCCTTTATAAAGGGGACTTATGCGTTGTAACAGTTAAGACATTGAAATAGAATAAAAAATAATATTTCCCCCTCTTAATTCCTTGTATTCCCTTCGTCCTCTCTCTATTCTCTCTTCCACTTTCTTTCTCAATCTTGTTCTACACCAGAAAAATATAGAGGTAGCACGAATTTTTAGAATTGAAACCTAGCATTCTATTGTCAACTGAAGCAAATGTTAAGTCAAGTTTGATATCAGTGGCATGAAACTTTGTGCTCCTTTAGCTACTCTTTTAAGCAAATTGCATCAACAGGTAAGAATCTGATTTTCAAAGTACAAAAACCGGAAAAACCAGCTATAAAGAAATAGTGGATATGAATTGCATCCCAGATTTCAACAGTTAAAATTTTCTGTAACCACCACACAATGGCAAATAACAGTGTTCTCAGGCCAAAAAATACAGATTAGGAACTTGAGCAGCACAACATATCAGAAAAGGGGAAGTGATACGTTCAGTTCAGTATGGTGACTAACCATGACTCTATAAGGATGATTGCTTTTGTGAGGATGCACCTCAGCTCCTACAGAAAAGCATTCCACACAGAGGTCAAAATCAGAACACATCACACACTTGATGCGAATCTTCCCTGAGATGTCTTTGTTGCAATAATTACAGTGGTACAATGCCTTTTTTCCATCCTTTATTCCCGGAACTTTTTTCATACAAGACAGAAAATAAACTTCAGTTACTAAAATTACATAGAGCTACAATTTTCTCACGCAAGTATATATGCAGAACATAGGCATATAAACAAGTATGCATGCTGGCATACTGCATAATGTAAATCCATACCAGTAGTCACAGTTTCAGTATTCTCCATGTTTTGAGCTGTCCGTTTTCTCTTTGAACGACTGGGGTTATGATAAGAAATCAATAAATAAATGTTTGTTGGCATTCAAAAGATCAAATATAAAAAATTGAACACATATAAAACTATGACAGAGCACACCCAACCAACATATTACAACTGTGAAGGCGGACACATAAAAAAATAAAATATACAAACAAAACGCACATCCCGTGGAATAGGTTAATGCTCAATATCATCATTGTTGAATAACATCCCCACCCCTCACACAGGTTGCTCTTCAAGTCAAATCACAAGACATCAAGAAGTTCTATCCTCATTTGCCCTAGTACTCTAACCCCAGGTGATCAAGTGTGGGGTGGAGACCACCATGGATATGGTATCATGACAGTGTAATAGGAATTAGAACCCAAAAGTAACTCAATTGGGACAGATGTAATGAATCAATGCCTGTAAACGGGGACAATCAACCTGTCCAAACCAAAGGCTTGATTTGATAGGCAATTAGTGCATGTTCGGAAGGTAACTAAATTAAAAGTTAGATAATTATAAACTGTGGATCTTATAGAATGTGTGGATAACAAGTGGATAAGAGTTATGTGTGGGTAAAAAGTAGGTTTGACCAAATTGGTAAAAAAAAAACACCTACCGAACATGCTTTTAATCACACAAAAAGTGTTTATAATTGATCAGAATCCAACACTACTATATTATTCATCCAAACATGTATGTATAGTCAACACCGATAAGACGCTAATCCTAGACAAACTTAACCATCCAGCAGTAGATATTGATTGATACGCAACATACTAATTTAAAGAGAACAACTTAACACTAAATTATTTAATACATTCAAAGTAAAACACAAGAATCTAATTAAACTAAAACCACAGCATGAAAAGTAGCCTTGCTGCCACAGTACAAGAACAGTATTTTTTTTTTTTTTTTTGGGATAATCTTCTACATTAACTTTTTAAATATTGTTCTGCATCGTTCTCCCAAGCTTTAGAGATAATTCACCCTCAATTTTTCATCATGAATCTTGAAAAAGGACCTGGAAATATTCGCCAAAATATCTTGAACTTCACAGAAGGATTCCTGTTTTCAATCAAGGATTTTATTTTTCCTGGCCTCTACAAAAGCCATCCAATCTGCCCAATGAATCTTCGCAAAATAAATAATAATAATCTACTTGTTAAAGAACCGTGAAAGAGGACCGAGTTAGACAAACTGGATGTAATGGATCGCTGCTTTAACTGAAAAGTTCATTTGACGTAGTCCAGTTGAATGTACCAAGTCAGCATAAATTCCATCGATATCCTAATCATCATATTTGAATTTAGCCCTTGTTTGATCCCACTTTTTCTAAAATAAAATTTTATTTATCATCTTTTAAACCACACATTCTTCAACAAAACAATATTACACGCAAATCCAAAACTTTTCCTTATTTTTTAACCACACATTCTATATCAATCTATTATTTCAAAATACATTCTACATAAAAAATGGGACTCAAATAGGCCCTTAATAAGATCAAAACCTTTATGCTGCATACTTTAGTCATTTTGATGTAATTTAAATACTCAACCCTGTAATCTATATCAGAAACAGCACTAAAGGAGTTCATCGAAATAGACCCTCAATCTAATAAACATACATCTTTTATGCTGAAAACTTTTCCAGGAACTAATCTCATATGAAGGTTTCTCTAGAAAACACGAATTGAGTAAATTGGACTAGTTATTAATACCTGGAACGAAATGGTCAGTTCAATCAAAGATCTATTAAACCGGATTCGAAAATGGTCCACATAACTCCACTGGATTGGTTTTTAATCAAGTACAAACCAATAAAATAATTCAAAACAATAGAAAATGCTAATAATGAGCCATAAATCATCTTGAAAATCCATGATAAAACAAATTAAACAAAATTAAAAAAGTCTTAACTCGCAAACAAACACAAGGCATTCCTAGAACAAATACTCCATAAAACACTTAGTTAAAAGCTACTGTTGAACTTGCAACAACCATCAACATTCTCTCCAGCAACTAGCTCAGCCTGAAGCCTCTCCATCCACTCTTTTGTCCATGAATTATGATATATTCTGTCTCAAGTATTATCCTCCTCGTACGTAAATACAGACACAATTCTAGAGGTATACTGCCTAGATCGACAAGCTTTGAGTGCTCAACCTTGGAGGAAACTGTATCAAAGAAATGCTCAGATAGCATAACTTCTATCGAGCATCTGAATGCTACTTCAATTATCACGTTTTTACTAAGTTTAAACATTAAGCGTGCCTCAATTACCACAAAAAACAACTAACTGTAAGTATGAAAGAGAACAAACTAACTCCCATCAAACAAACAATTTGGAAAGTGACTTGAAGCTCAACTTGCAATTGAGAAAAGCAGAACCCACAACATTATAAATTATATACTCTAAAATAAGAAAATCAAGTACCCAAAACTTTTATTAAAAAAAAATACACAGATAGTTAGGAAAACAATTGATTCGTCAATAAGATGAAACCATGGAATACAAACCCTAAAATTCAAACCTTTAATTAAGAAAGTAAAACAACAACTTTATAAATTACATACAGCACATAACCAATTCAAACAATCGAAATCAAAAAAGTAAAAAAACAACTGAAGACAAGCTTCAAAAAAATTAAAATTAAAAATAAAATTTGAGATTGGTTCGCGGTAACTTTTTACGAACCTTTGGGCGGGATCCTCATCGGCAGAGTGATGGGCAGCGCGTGAACGACCCATCTTGTTGAATTGGACCGAACTCTCAAGAATAATAACTTAGGGCTCCAATTTTTTCACGAAGAAATGTAATAACACAAGCTGAAAGCCCAGTATTGACGAATTGGGCAGTGAATTTGCTGCTGTAAATTTACTGTTACTTCATCAGTATGCATTTTCCCATCCGACTGGAAAATGGATAGCTACACGAATTCCTGGCTACAGTGCCGTCGCACTCTATCTCAATTTTCACTTTCGCGGAATTTAAGCCTTGTTTTACAAACCATTAAATGGAAGGGTGATCCTACATGTACCCACAAACTTTCACACGATCTTTTACACCCCCCTCACATGGAGGGGGGCCCACAATTATTTTATTATGTGTGGACACCCTTCCAGGTGAGGGGGGTGTAAAGGATTGTGTAAAGAATTATGTACACATAATCTTTCCTTCTTTCTTTGAGTGGTGCTATGTGTACACACAATTTTTTACACAATCTTTTACACCCCCTCACATGGAGGGGGGCCCACGATTATTTTATTATGTGTGGACCCCCCTCCATGTGAGGGGGTGTAAAAGATTGTGTGAAAGTTTATGTACACATATCATTATTCTAAATGGAAAACCATGTTTTAAGAGGGATTTTTCGTTTTTTTTAACAAATATAAGGGTCGGTTTCGGCCACATTATTTCATAAGAATGTATTTTATAATATTAGATTGATAGAGAATGTGTGATTGAAAAAAAAATTTATTGATGTGATTAAAAATATTATTTTATTGAAAAATGTGTAGTTGAAACTGAGTAGAAAAATGAAAATATGTTATAAAAAGAGAGCAAAAGAGAATCAGAAAAGTCAATAGATTTGTGTGTATTATAGTCAATATTCTAAAAAGCGTAAAGCGTGGCTAGGCGTGGAGACCAAGTTTCAAGCTTTACGAACCTAGGCGGGCCTAAGCGAAGTTTAGGCGTAAAAAAACATTTTTTTATTTTAAATTTTTAATCATTCTAAAAAAATTCAACAATTCAAATAATACATACCAAACATCTAAAATTATAAAATACTGCATTTACTTAATAATTCCTTCATAAAGTAGCTTGAAATTTAGATGTTGTTGAGGAATCATCTTCTTCCATTGGTTCCTACAAAAAAAATGAAAAATAATGCAAATATTTATTATTTACAAAATCCAGACCCAAAAAGCATATGAACGTGAAAACAAATGAAAATTTA